AGGAGGAGGAGGAGGAGGAGGAGGAGGAGGAGGAGATGTCCTCAAGAAGAAATCCCGCGGTTGCCTCTTCAGTGATGGCAGAGAGCAGAGGCACCCTCAAAGGCTTGCTCATTGGCCACTGGGTTTTTGTTTCTCTGTTTTTTCCTCTTACTTTCCTCAGATTTTCCTTCTCCTCCCTGCACTGCCCTGTAGCATTCAAATTAATGTTCCTTATTCCCCAAAAGCCAGAGCTGGTCTTCTGTCGTTTGTCCTCAAGGACACCTGCGTGCTGGTGGGGAGCCCCATCCTCCAAGCCATCAGGGACGGGAAGCTGAGAGGCAGCAGGCCTCTGCAGAGCAGGGTCCAAGATCTGTCCAAGAAGGCTAAGGGCCGGCAGTGAGCTTCACAGTGAGTGAGCACAGGGATCCAGCCCCAGCTTGCGCTCAGTGAAGCAGTCTGCTTCGTGTGGGTAACAGGGCAATGCCTTCTTCTGCTGCTGGTGCCCAGCCCGCCCTCCCTCCCTCCCTCCAGCATCCTCAAACCTCCTGCAACCCACAGAAGGAGGACTCCAGTGGCTGCACCCCCAGAGGTAGGCAGTCAGAAGGAACTGGGTATAAACTAGAAGACAAAAGCCAATTTTCTTTCCTGCCAAATAGCATTTTTTTTCTGGTACCTGACTTTGTTAAAACAGACAAAAGAAGCAAGCCAAAAAAATAAGAAATATATCTAAAATAACTTTCTGGGAGGAATGACTTCAAGTCACCTATTGAATCTTTTTCTCTTTTCTTACTCCTCCCTTGGAAGAAATTCAGTTCAAGAGCCAGCCAACATTGTCTACAAAGGGCTAAACCGTAAAATCTTCAGCTCTGTGGGCCATGGTTCAGCCTCTGCACAACTCTGTGCTTCAACTCTACCAGAAGCAGTCCTAAAGGCTACATAATGGACATGGACAGGCTCTGATAAAACTTTATTTGCAAATACAGGCGGTGAGCCAACTTTGGCCTGTGTGCCGCTTTGTCAGCTCCCTGTGGGGGGTGCTCGAAGCCAAGTCTAAGCTACGGGACCCATCACCTGTCATGGCATGAGGGACGCTGGTGACTAGGACCCTCTGGTTCTGCATTTTGACCCCAGTCTCCGGGTTCTGCATGTCCTTCACAAGTGCTTCAATCTGCAAAACAAAACAGAGAAAGCCTGCTGGAGGGAACTGCTTCAGAAGTGGGAGGAGGGGTGGGGGTGGGGGCCTCTGCACAGCACTGAGCAAGGCTCAGAGATGCAAAGGGAAACCCAGGGGCCTCCCACGGGCCACAGGTACAGATGGACTCAGGGCTGCAGGCTACTGCACACACGTGTGCTTCGGTGACACAGACCCCCACCCCACCCCCCACCCCAGGCTGGGATGGCTCAGAGCTTCATCCTAACTAGAAAAGTCTGGAAATATCTGCAAGAACAAACGGACCTTAACAAAAAGGGATTTTGCTGGACAGAAACTGAAACACCATCTGCTAAGACACGTGAGAGAGAAGGACAGGGAATAGGGAGACATGAGGCTGGCACAGGGGGCAGAGGCCGAGCCCAGTGGATCGTGTGCCAGACGCTGGCCCAGAACAGCGTTCTGGAAATGTACCCACGACAGAAGAACAACACTGGGGTGTGAGGAGGTTGGCCGAGGAAGGATAAAAAGGGCACGTCCATTTAAATTGACTGCAGTGGTCCGGGCAGGGGGGGACACTGGGCCCCGCCACCCTGCCGCTTTGGAGGTCTGAGCTCAGTTCTCACAGTTCCGTCCATCATTTATGGAGCTCCTCTGCCCCTGCATTTAACTTCCAGGGCCATTCCACCGAGAGCAGACAACAAGGATGTAGCCCCATGGTCTACATAGGTGAGGCCTCTTTCCTCTTCTCCTGTCACTCCCCTCTGGCTCGCTCCAGCCCAGCCACCCCGCTGGCCACCTCACCATCCCTGGCCATATGGAGCATGCTCGCCGGCCACCTCGGAGTGTTCCCTCGGGCTGTTCCTGCAGCCTAGGCCAGTCTTCCCAAGAGATCTTTTGGCTCATGCCCTCATCTCCTCCTTCTGACGTTGCGGGAGGTGTCACAGATCGTCCTATTCGAGGTCAAAACCTCAAACTCCACCGTTGACTCCCTCGACCCTGCTTTTGCTATGGAATTCATTTCCTATGCCAGCGCCAAGCCGGCCCAGCTGGAGGCTGCCCTGCAGAAGGCCAAGCAGGACGTGGCTGGGCAGCTACACAAGTACCAGGAGTTCATGAACGTCAAGCTGGCCCTGGACAGCGAGATCACCTCCTACCGCAAGCTGCTGGAGGGCGAGGAGAACAGGCTGGAGGCTGGATGCAGAAACTGAGCATCTACACGAAGACCACCAGAGGCTATTCGGGAATGGTAAGCTCATCCTACGGGGGCCTCACAAGCCCTGGCTTCACCCGCACCAAGTCTGCTGTGGGTCTGACGAAGATGGAGACCCACGACGGGAAGCTGGTGTCTGAGACCTCTGATGTCCCGCCCAAGTGAGCGGGCCGCAGCAGCCTCTCCAGCCCGCACCTCTCCGGCAGCTGACCCAGAGCCCGCGGGGAGACAGCTGTACAGGGAGCCCTGGGAGCGAGAGACCCACCGGAGGCTCCGCTTAGCCCTCGGCCCACCATTGGGGGGACATTACTGCCTGCGGTACCCTTTCTTACCCATGCCCTTCACCAAAACCCAATTCAATTATTTTGTTCCCAAAATAAAGCCTGATTTTGCCACTTTAAAGAAAAAAAAAAAAAGAATTCATTTCCTAGCAGGCAAGCCCAGTGTGCTGCGTACCCAGCCTCGTCCCTAGAAAGCAGACTGACTGTTCCAGGCTGGTGTTTAGTTTGCTGTGGCCTGCCACTGAACTCCAAGGGCCCAGGAGAGCACCTGGCCCCGAAGGGCACCCAGTGAACATTCCTGGCGCAGGAATGAGCAAGTCGGTGAAGGCGGTGGCCAGGAGGACGGCAAGGAGGCCTGGCTTTCCAGGCCTGAGGATCACCCGCTCCGTGAAAATGGCAAAGAACAATGTCAAGGCTTACGAGTTATGTGACCAGAGTCACCACATGTGTGCTTCAATGACACAGGCTCCTCCCTGGCTGGGAGGGCACAGAGCCTCATTCTGACTTGGAAGGTCTGGGAACATTTGCAAGAGCAAATGGACCTTAGCGAACAAAAATAGGATTCTGCTGTGAGAAAACGAGACCCGATCCATCAAGGTGAGGGAGGCGGAGTTACCAAGGTAGATGATGCGAACGAAGGCCTGGGATGTAGTTCAGTGGTAGGACACTGGCTTGTCTGGCCCAAAGCACACACACACAAGGAATAAAGCAAAAGAAGATGTCAAAAAATAGCCACCTTCTGGAAACATACACACACACTTCTGCTTTACCATGTAGGCTCTAAGAGGACATTGCGATAGCTACGGTGTCGTCTTGTGGGTGACCGGAAAGGACTGCCCCAAGTTCACAAGAGAGAAGGACCAGAGACTGGAATGAAATTCATGGGTATCCAAGAAAGTATTCAAGCCCAAGGGAAACAATAAGTTGCCAAAGGAAGATCTAATACACTAAACAGGAAGACAGCCTCAGAACATTTCTAATTATCTTGGAGGTCATTTTAAAATTTTAAAGTTCTGTAATATCTTCCAACCAGGCAAAGGAAAGAAGGAAAGAGAGACTAAGGAGATAGCTCAGTGGTCTAAGTGCCTGCCTGGCAAGTGCAAGGTCCCAAGTTCAATCCCCAGTACTATGCCGGTCCTCCCCTCCCTCCCTCCTTCTCTCTCTCTCCCCCCCACCTCCGCTTCTCCCCCTCTCTCCCTTTCTTCTCCCCCTCTCTCCTTTTTTCTTTTCCACAAAGTCTCACTGTGTTGCCCTAGGTCCAAACAATCTTCCTGCCTCAGCTTTCCAAGTAGCTGGGACCACAGGTATGTGCTATCATGCCTGGTTGGAAAATATTATAGAACTTTAACATTTTAAAATGACTTCCAAGATAATCCAGGTGTGCTGTGCCAACCCCAAAATCGGTCGTGGTGGTGCATGCCTGTAATCCCAGTGCTGGCAAAGTTGAGATAGGAAAACCACTACAAGTCTGAACTGCATAGTAAGACCCTATATCAAAATAAAAAGAAATTGTCAAGAATTTGTTACAAGGAAGGAAGGAAGGAGGGAAAGAGACAAACTTAAAAAAATTAAATGGAAATAAAATCAACTGGGGAATATTTTAAAACAAACTAGATGTTTCACTCTATTAAAAAAAAATACTTGGGTGTTCCTCTTATATTTAATCGGGGACTGACAAAGCCCCGTGCAAAGGTTCCAAATGCGCCTTCCGCGCTCCCAGCAAAGCCCCACTAACGCGGAAACATGCTCTTGTTCTGGACAGCCCACCACCCTGCAGCTACCAGGCACATCCCGAGCAGCTCCAGGAAGCCGCCGACAAGCAGCTGTGGCCCTCATGGTCCCCGAAAGCTCACGCAGGTCGCTCCATCTCCAGGGCTTCATTCTCAGGGAATGCCTGGAACGACGGGCAGCACCAGATTCTATACAGACTACAGCCTTTCCTACTCTTACGCACTTATGATAACCTAATTTATAAATCAGACACAGTAAGAAATTGAAAACATTGGTTAATAATAAAATAAAATGATTGTAATGATATACTATAATAAAAGTTAGGTGAAGACTCCTTTCCCCCACTCTCAGTATGGAATTTTCCGCTCAGTACTTTTGGGCCAAGGCTGATCAGGGAGGGTGGCACTGTCGGTGAGGGGGACGACTGTCCCAGGATAGGCTGACGTGGGAAGCAGGACAGGGTGAGTTTCTGGTATCACGTCCCCAGCCATAGCAGAGAAGCATAACCTGGAGTGAGTCACAGGTGGCAGGAAGCAGGCCGCAGAGGGCAGCGGCATAGGAAGGGGTCTCCCAGGTCAGAGAGGAGCAGAAGCTCCGGGCAGAACTAGCCGTAGGGCCAGAGACGCACCCCTGCCTTCCCCGGCTCTCATGCCCTCCCCAGCTGGGGGACACGCACAGCTAAGCAGATCCGGTAGCCCAGGCCTTCTCCGCCCATATTCCAGCCATTATTGGATGAGGAAGAGTTCCTCAACTTCCTGCCCCCTCCTCCACTTAGGTAACTTGGTTACATTGTCATTAGTCCCCTGTCATTTAATGGAACAACACCCTCAACACCGTGTGGCTTGTTACAATAATCAAGGTCTTTTTACAGCTTGAAAGCATTTGAAGCCAGAAGAGAAAGAACCCCAGGTTCCCACAGCCTCCATGGGGCTTCCTTTCACGGCTAACTGAAGCATCTGAGGTGACTCATTTAATCTCTCCGAATTCCTTCCTCTTCCATAAAATGGGACCACAATATTAGAGCCCCACCTTATCAGGAAGGTCTTACAATCTCTTAGACTCTCGTTCTGAATGTGCATAAGGTTGCCTTTGTTATGATTTGTATTTGGAATGTCCCTGGTCCCAAGGCTCAATTTGACAGCTTGGTCCCCAAGGCATGCACATTCAGAACAGAAGCTTTTGGAAGGCAGCTGGGTCATGAAGGCTCTAGTATAAGCAGTAGACTGATCATTTGATGGCATTATGAAGACACGAAGCGAGTGTGTCAGGGCGACATGCCCTGGGGACCATATTCTGTCCCCAGCTCTATACTCTGTTTTATCACATGCTTCTGCATGGTGTCCGTCCCGCCTCACCATGAGCCCCCAAGCAGCTGCACCAAGCAACCATGGACCGCAGCCTCTGAAACTGTACACCAGGGCTGGCAAAATAGCTCAGCAGGGGCCGGGGAGATGGCTCAGTGGAGTAAGTGCTTCCCTGGCAAGCACGAGGGCCTGAGTTCAACCCCTGGTTCCGAAAAAAAAAAAAATAGCTCAGCAGTCTAAGCACCTGCCTGGGAAGCACAAGGTCCTCAGCTCAATTCCTGATACCTCATGCCACCAAGACGGCCACCAAAACTGGGCGTGGCGGCACATGCCTGTAATCCCAGCACTGGGAGGCTGAGCCATAACAACCACTGAGTTGGAACTGCATAGTGAGGCCCTATATGCAAAAATAAATTAATTAATTAATTAATGAAATAAACAAAAATAATGAAACCATAATGAATGTCCCCCTCTCCGCTGACCTACTCC